CAGGTCTCGCTGCCGCTGCCGAGATCGTGCAACTCGTAGCCACCGCGAGGGAACGAGAACTTTTGTTCTTGTTCACAACACACGTCCTGAAAACAAAAACTAACAAACTATTCCAAAAAAATAATTCTTTCTTTAACCTACCCATTTTGTTAAATAGTAAGACAGCTTAAACAAAATAAAAACCAACTTGCACACACTGTAGATGCAGAATCTCAGCCAACTTCAGAGTGTCCTCGAATGGTATTCCGCAGCTGGTGACGGTGCAGTTGTTCGGTGTGAAGTTAGTCACAAACTCCTTGAGATTGGCAGAGGTCATGGTGTCGACCCTGGCCTCGTCACAGAATATGGACTGGTGCAGGGGACCTGCCCAAAATGCTTTCTGCACCAAGTCTATTGCACGTTGCTCGGAGCTCATACGCAGCAAATTGTCTTTGACGAATGGCTTTATGTCGGTTACCTCCCATTCGTAGAAGCAACACCTAAGTTAATTAAGATTAAAACTCTTTTTTAATAAATTCGGTAAAAAAAGGGAGTAGGGTTAAGAACAAAAAGTGGAACATGAAACTAGGCCCCGGCGAGATTCGAACTCGCGATCTCCTGTTTACTAGACAGGCGCTTTAACCAACTAAGCCACGGCGCCGTTGTCGGTTTCGTTGAAATTAGAATACACAAATAACTTGAACCAAATCAATATATAATAAACAATTGCTTACAAATAAACTAACTTATTTATTATTTTTGTGATGGCAAAGAAAACATTTTAAGATAATCTCAGTTTGCAGTTACTTCGATGTTAACTATGTTATTGTAAGAAATTGAAAAAAGCGCCATCTATTGAAAAACTTGTATCATTGAAGTGAATACATTATGAATATTTTTGCATACAAATATATTGCTTCCGTAACGTTATCAGATACTGGTCTACTACCTGGTGGCAGTGTCGATGAGGAAGTACTTGAGGTCATGAAACTGTGTTAAGGGACATCTCAACGTGAAGGCGAGGGTCTGGCGGTCGCCAGAGCATGTGAGGTAGCAGCCGCGTTGCTGCAGCACGCGCCCCTTACCCACCGCCGAGTACGCGTGTCCCGAGCTCCCAGACATGGCGCGTACGAAGTGACTTGCGCCCAGCTGATTATCACGCTCGAGACGGGACCCCGCCTAAAGTATATTAGCCCAGACATTAGTAAAGGGCGCTATAGACTGCCCAAGGGGCTACACATACATACGAGAAACTGACAATAATTGTTAGTGTATTCTGGTTTAATAACGTTTGTGTATTTACTTGGAACATAATAGTGCATGCACTGAGCTGGGCGCCGAGCGACTTCGCCGCGGCCACCCTGATGCCATTCAGCATGTGGGTCCGATACACCTCCTCCGAGCCGTACGCCTTCGGCATACGTTGGCACAAATGTTTGACGCCATTTATCAATGTACCTGATAAACATCGTTGAAGATGTGTTTTTATTATGCTATTCATTGTAGCAAATGACAATATGTCATTCAGCCATTGTCATGTTATGACGTATGACATTTAATGTAATAAACACTCTTTAGTAATCTGCTTAAATAAAAGAAAAAAAAAACAATCTAAATAACAGTTTTTTTTATTTACAACTAGCTTTCGCCCGCGACTCCGTCCGTGTGGAATTAAAAAAAAATAATAGCCTATGTGTTCTAAACTGTACTCTACATCTATACCAAATTTCATCGAAATCCGTTCAGCCGTTTAGGCTACAAACTCTAACAAACATCCATCCATCTAAACCTTCGCATTTATAATACTAGTATGACTATCTCTTGTTTGTCATTGTGAATTAATCTCCTCTATTTTTATTGACTTATTTTTTATCATTATTGATTTTAAATGTTTTATATTATTGTGGCTTTATTATTTAGAAGTATATGTATCATACTACCCGTAGCTTAGTATCTGTACAATGTAAATATTGACATACTTATTGATTTAAAACCAGTTTAAATTAACTGTAATAACAATTCGATAACTGTTATTACAGTTAATTTAAACGGGTAATGTAGAGTACTTTAAGTTAATAAAACTTGTTCTGATTATAAAAGAATATTAATATAACTGCTACCGTTTAGTTTACTTGTGTGTTAGTAAAACAAAAGGTAACCAGTTTTAAAATAATGAAAAATTGCATTTCAATTAAATTTGAAACATTGAAAGATAAGTGATTTTTGATTTATTTTATTTATAAAATGGAACGTGATTTCAAAGAAGATGCGGAATATCCAAAGATGTTAGACAATATAGATCCTTTGAGACAATTCAAGCACAGATTCTATCAACCAGAAGGTGAAAACTATCTATGCGGTCATTCAATTGGATTAACTTCAATAAACGCTGAGAAGAAATTAATAAAACTATTGGAACTTTGGAAGAAAGACGGCATTGGATTTTGGTCGTACGGTAACTCTAAATATATGAAATATTCTAGTATTCTAGCTGAATTAATGGCGCCTTTGATCAAAGTACAGCCGAATGAAATTGTTATATCAGGATCTTGTACTTCTAATATTCATGTAGCTATGTGTACATTATATAAACCGACATGTAACAAATACAAAGTTTTAGTTGATGATATTAATTTTGCTTCAGATAGATACGCCGTTGACAGTCAAGTAAAACTAAAAGGACTAAATCCGGTAAATGCAGTCAAAGTAGTTAACAGTCAAGGAAATTTTATGAACGAAGATCTAATTATAAACTCGATGACGCCAGATGTCGCTTTACTCCTCCTTCCTGCTGTTTACTATAAAACAGCACAATTTTTACAATTAAAGAAAATCTGTGAAAAAGCAAACGAATTTAATATAATTATAGGATTAGATTTGAGCCATGCGATAGGTGTTGTAGATCTACATTTGGAGATTTTGAATATAGATTTCGCTGTTTGGTCCGCGTATAAATACCTAAATGGAGGACCTGGGTCTTGTGCCGGTTTGTACATAAATAAAAAACACTTCCATCTAACTCCGGGTCTCGCGGGCTGGTACGGAAACAGAAACGAAACACGTTTACAATTCAAGCAAGAATTCGATCAACAGAGAGACGCTAATGGTTGGCAAATCGGAACACCTTGTTTATTCTCGATGGCGCCGTTAAAAGGTTCACTAGAAATATTCAAAGAAGCAGGAATAAGTAACATAAGAAAGAAATCGTTGCATATTACCGTGTACTTAATGTATTTGGTTGATAAAAAGTTGGTACATTACGGGTTTAGTGTGGGTAATCTTAGAGAAGATGAGAAGAGAGGCGGCCATGTATCAATCACACATGAACATGGTCAAAGAATTACGTTAGCGTTAAAAAATCGTGGTATTGTGATAGATTTCAGAGAGCCAGATATAATGCGCGTAGCTCCTATAGCTTTGTACACGACTTATGAACAAGTTTATGAATTTGTTGAAATTTTGTTAGATATAATGAAGAATAATGAATATTAAAGAAATTTAAGTTAGTTTTAACTAACGGTATAATTAAAAGTCGAGTTAAAGTCTGTTCAGTTAATACTATGCTAATGTAAGCTAAGTTTTAACTGTCAGTTGAATTGTACAGTAAAAGTTCTGAATTAAAATACTTTGAATTGTGCGAAATAAAAAAAAAAAACTATCGAAGAGTTCGTTGTATTTTGTAATGCACGTCTATTTCTAATACCTTACTTATTAACTTTGTTAAGGGTAAAATTCAATATTATTTACATAAGTTAGAAAAATACATAAATAAAAAGCATCAGAAATTTTCTATATATTTATTTCTGTTATCGTCATTGATGAACACAATGTAATTTTTACAATTAATTTCTTATCTGTCGGCTCCAAAACATCTAAAAAATAACCTGTTCTAACGGAAAATTAACTATAAGTATGTAAAAACATTCAATTCAGCTACAAATGTAAACATCAGTATGTAAAAACGACAATTTTTTTATACTTTTTCATGAAAATAGACTTTTAAATTCACCTCTAGCTGTAATATTAAAATCTAGATTTCTAACTGGACTTATATAATCTATATTTTAGACCTAAAATAATTCATACAATCACATTGTCCGCATTTCAAGTGAACCACATCACGACTTTTAAACTATTTAAATAAAAAAAAAACTATAAAACTATAACATCAACAAACGTCAAATCGTAATTTCTCACAGTGTTGCCAACCGAAACAAATTTATCGCCATACGATGGAAGCTTACCTTAAAAAAAATAGAAAAAAAAGATCTTATTTAAAACCTTAAATGTTAACTTTCTATTTATTTACAGTAATTTACATCACAAACGCAAATTTCTATGCTTTGAATGAATATTAGTTATTTTTATATATATATTTTAATAAAATATATCGCAGGGAATTGAAATAAATCATCAGAACAGAAACAAACACACATTTTATTGCTTTCCAACATTAATATACTAATTTTTGTCTAAATATTTTTATTTTTGACCGACTTCCCAAAAGAAGGAGGAACTCAATTCGTCTGTATGTTTTTTTTATTGCTACGATTGGCACATCTATAAGAAATGCTGTCTGGATTAAAGAAACAGTTTTGCTATGATTTAATTCACTTTGATTCACAAAATCCAAAACTGGCAACATTCAGTTAATTTTTCTGGATGTTTCTGTTAAGACCTTTTGTACCCATATAAATATAGATTCTAAATCGGTTAATTTCGTATAGAGTTGGTAAAAATTCGTATTGCGAAGTGGCAGAGAAGGGTAGAGGGGGAGGTGTGGAAGGGGAGGGACAT